GTGTGGTATAATCAAAGTTAGTGACATCATCAGAGTGTGGTATAATCTTCAGACGTCCTCCGTGTTAACCAGTGATCGTGTTCAAGATGTGAAAACAGCAGTTCTGTTGTGGAAAGTCCAACTTTTTGTGACTCGTTTAAATCACGTTCTGCTGTGATGTCTGAGCTGAAGGTCCAAACAGGACTGGGCTGTAAAGACCACCGGTGTCTACTGGGAGATTTTTATGTGGTACAACGTACCGCTCCCAGAAGTCCCAGCATCGTGAGTCCTGAAACGTGTTTCCTCTGTGTGGACCGTCTGATCCAAGCCTCTGATTGGTTGTTTGGTTGGTGCTGCTCAGTCCACAGGTGGAAACCTCTGAGCTCTGGAACCCAGCGAGAGATGGAGTTCAGCCACGGTCGTGAAGACGGTCTGGTGAGGACCGTGCTGTCGCCAACTGAAATGCTGGAGTTTTTTGAGGGCCGGGAGGACTTCCTGTATTACCGACACTCCAGCTTCAGTCAGGCCGAGCCTTCGGAACGTTCAGAGGATGTTTCAGTAGGTCTTGGTAGGTGATACATGTAGATTACCCTAAAGTTTCTCCTTTTGTCCTCCAGCTCTAATGTTAAAAATCTTGGTGTTATTTTTGATCAGGACATGTCTTTTATCCCCCACATTAAAAACGTTACTAGAACCTCCTTCTTCCACCTGCGTAATATCACTAACATTAGAAACATCTGATCTAAAGATGATGCAGAAAAACTGGTCCATGCATTTGTCACGTCTAGACTGGACTATTGCAATGGTTTATTATCTGGGTGTCCAAATACTTCTTTAAAACGTCTTCAGTTGATCCAAAATGCTGCTGCCAGAGTCTTAACTGGAGTTACTGGGAGAGATCATATCTCTCCAGTTTTAGCTTCTCTCCATTGGCTCCCTGTCAAATCCAGAATAGAATTCAAAATCTTACTTCTAACCTACAAATCCCTCAACAACCTAGCTCCATCTTATATTACAGATCTTATTGTTCCATATTTTACTAACAGAGCACTTCACTCTCAGGCTGCAGGTTTACTTGTGGTTCCTATAGCTTCCAAAACCAGAATGGGAGGAAGATCTTTCAGTTCTCAGGCTCCTCTTGTGGAACCAACTTCCAGTTTCTGTCCATGAGACTGACACATTGTCTAGTTTGAAGACTTTCCTTTTTGATAAATCCTATAGTTAGGCTTGTTATGCTGCTATAGACTTAGACTACTAGAGGACAAACTGACCTCATTTCTTTAAATGAATTGTTAAAACTGAATAGTTTTCATTTGATACTATTTCTATCTTAACATGTGATTCTTGGCCTGCCATTGTGTATCTGTTCCTACCAAACCCAGCCGGTCGAAGCAGATGGTCCTCTTGTCCTGATCCTGGTTCTGCTAAAGGTTTCTTCCTCATGAGGGAGTTTTTCTTTCCACTGTCACCTTCATGCTTGTTCAAGATGAGAGTTCAGTGATGGAGTTAAACTCAAAGCTGCTCCTCACATAAATAATGTTCAATTATTATTTTATATATTAATGTTTCTGTTAAATTATTATTTTATATATTAATGTTTCTGTTAAATTATTATTTTATATATTAATGTTTCTGTTAAATTATTATTTTATATATTAATGTTTCTGTTCAGTCCCTGAGACGATTCTGTTGTGACTTTAGAAATAATCTGAACTGAATTGGAATTGATTCAGCCGGAGAGGTTGAATCAGACTGTACGAGGTGTAGAATAAGTTCAGGGTCTCTGAGGTCCTGAAGGACCGTTTAGCTTCAGGGAACATCAGCAGGAACAGAACCAGATCAATTCGACACGATTCATTCCTGACGGCTGAACTGAACGATACAGTTCTTGTAAAATGGACCTTCACTTGGGTTCCCTGACAGAGGTATAGCATGACGTCATCAGTTAGCGCTCAGACTCTCAGCTACCACCACAGCAACGTTCAGCTCACAGTCTAAAGCTGACGGAGCTGGAGCCTTTTTGCATGGTCACAATTCAGTTAGTCGTGGCGGCCATCTTGAATTGAGTTGACTGCATAACTCAGTCAGTTGTAGATGAATGCACACAGATTTATTTTTCACAGCCTCATTAAAATCAGTCCAGTGGTTCACGAGATATTTTGCTAACAGAACAGTGCAGTGCTCAGTTGTTGCTCTTCTGGCTCCTCCGTCTGCAGGCGGCGCCACAGCAAGTGAAGCTCACAAAAATGATTCGTCAGTTTTACACCTGATGCCCTTACTGACACAACATGGGCTCGAACCTGCAGCCGCAACACTAACCACTGAGCTACCGTAGCCCCATGTGTACGTGTTCGGTGATGAGCAGTTACACCCCGTGAGTGACGGAGCCAACCTTCGCTCCAGACTTCACTCGATACAAACTTCAGAACTTATCGGTCGGTCCTGTCCGTCATAAACAGCACCTCCTCCTCTCACCTCCATGGGAGAGGAGGAGGTGCTTCTGGTGGAACACGAAGGACTCGTGATGGGACAGACGTGACACCTGAAGCTCATGTTTGTGTTTCATAAAGTGTTGGAGCGTTTCCACAGAAACCCGTCCAAACCAGCCAACGAAGACGTGGCGGAGCGACTCTTCCTGACCCGTCAGGGGCAGATCGAGCTGACCTACCACCTGACGGAGCGCCACTTCTTCCCCTCGAAGATCCTCTTCACCAAGCTCTCGAAGAAATACAGCTTCACCCCGGACATGGTGTCCACCTTCCAGGTTCAGAGCCGACATCAGCCACATTTCTGTGAGAGTAAACCTGCTTAACAACTGGTGTGTGTGTTCAGGCGGATGTGTCTGAGAGAGCTCCTCAGGCCCTGACTCTGCTCAGGCTGCTGCACGCCATGCTGAAGAAGCAGAACGAGTTGACTTTCCTCATCTGCAAGTCCATGAAGGAGGTACCCGTGTTCCCGTCAAATCTGTTTTTAAGAGCTTTGAAGAAAACTAGACAAACTAGAGAGTACTTTCTCTAGTTTTTCTTGCAAAAAAGCAGCGTGAATGCTTATTGCAGAAGAACTTGATGAAAACAGCTGAAATTAGCTAAAAACATGCTGAAATGTAGCTGACGTGCAAGAACAAGCCAAATTAGCAGAAGAGAGTAGAAAGAAAACATATTTGCTGAATTAGGTTTAAATAAGCAGAAATTAGCACAAAATGAGCAAATTAGCTAAAAAAAAAAGGCTGAAATTAGAAAAAAATTGCAAAAAAGTAGCTGAAAGGGCAGAAAGAAGCTTAAATTACCAGAAGGAAATGGAAAGAGCTGAAATGAGCAAAAAATGTGGAATTAAATGAAAAGGCTAAAAATAGCATGAATAGTAGCTGAAATAACTTAAACTAGCAGAAATAAGCTGAAAGGAGCATAACAAGCTGAAATTAGTAGAAAAATGTTAATTAGGCTGAAAGAAGCAGAAATTAGCACCAAAAAGTGGACATTATCTGAAAAAAGATGAAATTAGAAAAAAAAGAATAAAGCTGAAAAGTAGCTAAAATGACAGAAAGCTTAAATTACCAGAAGGAAGTGGAGAGAGCACATTTTAGCTGAATTAGGCTGAAAAAAGTTTAAATGAGTGCAAAAAATGTGGATTTAGCTGAAAAAGCTAAAATTAGCAGAAAAACAGCTAAATAGAAGCTGAAATATCAGAAAAAGCTGACAAGTACAGACATTAGCTGAAAGAAGCATAACAAGCTGAAATTAGTAGAAAGAAGTTAGAAGCACAAAAATGTTGTAGTCAGTAGAAATAATCTGAAAGAAGCACAAAACAGCTGAACGAACAGCTGAAATGAGCTGAAAGTAGCTGAAAATAGCTATTGAATGAATGAAATGTATGTAATGAAACTGAAACGAGTGTGTTCAGGTACTGGGACTAACTGAGGGTGTAAAGGGCTTCAGAGGTCTGTTGATGTGGATCCAGACCATGCCCACAGATTACAGAAGTCTGGATCCTTGGAATAGAAACCTAAAGAAAGTGGGACCAGAACTTTTGGAAAAACAGATTTTGGAGGTCCCAGAAGTTTTAGAGATCGAGCTTGTTATAGTTTCTGTAAATGTTTGTGATGTGTGACACGGGAAGACGAGTTTTATTTAACGTGGTATCATTAATTTGACGCCTGTCCTGTGAGCAGAAAACCACCATGGCGGCCCTCAGAGAGCAGGAGGAGCCCCAGCTGAAGCTTCTGACTCCAAACGTCTGCAGCTCCGGCCCACCGTGACAACAAGGACCAGGTGAGCTCCGACTTCTCCCAGACTGACGAGTCCTGAATAACGTGACACGACTGCTGCAGCGTCAGGGTGTCTGTTTTCACATCTCCATTTATAGTCTGCCATGTTGTTTAGTTTACAATGCATGATGGGTAATGCTAAGGTCAGCTGGTCGGAACAACCTCAGATCTCAAGAGAACCCTTCTGTTCCTATTTTTAGCTTGAACTTGAACACAGCATAAAAAAGAGAACCTTTTTATTTTTAGCTCCGCCCCCTTCCAACACCAGCTGGAGGTAAACTGTAAAATCTGAATTAAAATAATTTTTAACTTGAAACTGGAACCTTCACAGGTTTTTCTACAGATTCTGTTGTGAGTCTGTTTCATTTGAAGCTGCACAACTTCCTGTAAGACCTGACGGCTTGTTGTTTGTTGCAGGCAGCAGGAAACGTTCCAGATGAACCGTGATGCTCTCCAACTGAAGCTGCGACAGGACACCGCCGTGCCCCCCCACCTGAGCCCCACCTGAGCCCCACCTGAGCCCCACCTGAGCCTCACCTGAGCCTCACCTGAGCCTCACCTGAGCATTTTATTGTTGTCTTTTAACAACATGAAGGACTCTTGTCGTCTCCCAGATTTGTCTTAAACGATGACAACAAACTGTTTGTGTCAGACAACATCAAGTCTTCTTTTCATCTTCTGCATAAAAAAAGCATTTTTGTGATTTTACCTTATTTTTCTAACACATACCCAGAAAGAGATCAAGTTTTTTTTGTGTTTGTAGCAGCTTGGACCAAAGGCTCTGATGAAAACGTTTGGTTTTATTCTAAACTTTGTTCCATTTAAAGCAACAAACGCACCAGCAGCCTCACGACAACCAGACGTAAGAGTTTCACACCAACAACTACGATCCTGAACCAGCCCAGGACCTCGGTCTGAGAGACTTCATCCACACTGGTGCAGAACAGACTCAACCTGGGAGGAGCTAGGGACCAGACGGGAGGAAACACACCAGCAAAGAGCTCCAATTACAATAAAACAGAATAAATAAAACTTTTTTAATAATAACTAGAGAAATTGTATTTGTATTGTGAAGGCTTTTTACACAAGAACTTACTGAAAAACAGCTGAAATGGAAGAAAAAGCCTAAATTAGGAGAAGAAAGCGCAACAAACACATTTGCTGAATTAAGTTTAAAGAAGCAGAAATGAGCACAAAAATTTGGAAACTGGCTAAAAAATAGCTAAGATTAGTAAAACGTAGCTGAAAAGTCTGAAGCTTAAACATCCAGAAGGAAGTGGAAAGAGCTGAAATGAGCTCAAATATGTGGAATTAGCAGAAAAAGCTACAATTACCATAAAAAATGTTAAATAGTAGCTGAAAAAGCAGAAACTTGCAGAAGTAAGCTGAAATTAGCTCAAATATGTGGAATTGGATAAACTACTATTGGATACAGAAAAAGTTAAAATTAGCATAAACTTAAAATTAGCAGCACGACTCATGTTCGTGCTGCTGTTTAGTGTATTGTTTTGCACTATTAGTGTTTAACATATTTCTTAGTTTATATCTTAGATTCTTTACTTTTTCTTTTCCACTTCATGTACCACATGTGATGAAATGACAATAAAAGCTACTTGAACTTGAAAACTTAAATAGTAGCTGAAAAAGCTGAAACTTGCAGAAATCAGCTGAAAGGAGCAGAACAAGCTGAAATTAGCAGAAAGAAGTCAGAAGAAGCACAAAAATGTTGAAGTTACGAGAAAGAATTTGACCGGAGCACAAAACAGCTGAACGTAGCTGAAAATAGCTGAAAAACATTTAAATTTGCAGAAAGAAGCTGAAGAAGAACAAAATGTGAAAGGAGCAGTAAAAGTTTGTAAACAGATCTAAAGATTTGAAGGATGTAAAATGAGATCAATTCATTTTCTATGAGAGAAAAATGGCAGAAAAGGCTAAACATTTCAAAAAGCTCAAATTGCACCAAAACCAAAAGTCACGGCACACTTTTCCTAAATGAGCTGAACGTTTTGATACCTAAATTGCTGAAATAGCTTAAAAATTGCATGACAAGAATTGTGCCTGAAAACATACAGAATAGGGATATTAACAGCCAGTAATAATAATAATAAAATTTAAAACAACGAGAAAATCACTGTAATGTCACTTGATTGTTGAAATGTGCTGCTGACTATCCATGCTGCTGATCTCATGCTGCTGATTATTTCATGTTGCTGTGTTTATTGGTCCTCATCTGCGCACACAGACTCATGTTCGTGCTGCTGTTGTTTTGGCGCATTGTTTTTGTACCACTAAATGGTAAATGGACTGCACTTATACAGCTCCTTTCTATCTTATTGAGATACTCAGAGCTCTTTACAACAATCTGTGCCTCATGTATCCATTCACACAGCTCTATACTAGATCTCTACAAAGATAATTGAACAAATCATTCTACAGAGACTAATCAGAGCTTTATCACATTCATTCACTGATGGGACACACATCAGAGTCAACGAGGGGTTCAGTGTTTTGCCCAGGGACACTTCGGCATGTGACTGCTGTGGGGTTGGAACCCCCAACTCTTGTATTGGAGGACGACTGCTCTAACCACTCAGCCACAGCCGCCCCACTAGTGTTTAGTGTATTCTTAGTTTAGTGAATGTAGTAAATAGTTCATGACTCAGATCTTATTAATGTTTTTCTTTACAATTTGTATTTTTGATAGATGTAACTGGGCCCCTGTGTACATCGTTCCACCTCATGTACCACGTGTGATGTGAATAACAATAAAAATCCTTGTATCCTTGTAAAATAAACAGGATCACAATAGTGTGACTGCTTCATAACATTCACACAATAAAATAATAATTTGAAAGAAGACCGTGACGGTTTCTTGGACCAGTTTGAGGAGCACCAGCAGACCTGAGAGGACTGAGGAGTTGTGGAATTGTGCCACTCAAAGTGTTGGAGCAGCTCTGTTACTTTCATTCTGACTTATTGCTTTTGAAAACTTTATTTCCTCTTTTTTCTGGATGTAAATCGCTTTTTTCGGATGATTATTTACTCTGGTATCGGACGCTGTGCAGCTGGAAGGATTTTTACTGAATCCGTTTTACTTTTGGGCATTTGTTATGATGCGTAACCATGGCAACAATGTGTTTTTTAACAACCAGGAGCAGATAATTAACATCTCAAAAGCTCAAATACCTCAGCTACAACCCCAAATCCCAAATGAGTTGAAAAGGAGGCACCGTGGATGAATTCCCGTCAACCTGGCAGCGGCACTCGAGTATCTGACCCCCGTGATCATGGAGCTGTTGGGAAACGCAGCTCGTGAAACGAGAGGACCGGGATCACACCCCGGCACCTTCAGCTGTCTGTCCGCGGCGACGAGGAGCTTTCGGAAAGTCCTGCTGCCCAGGAGGACAGAGAGGCCCGTTGGATCTGACAGCAAGCTGGATCCAGGTGGACAGATCGGTACCTGTGGCCAGATTATTCAGATTCGTTGCAGGAGATCCTTCCTGCCCACAGCATCTTGAACAAAAAACCAGGATGATGAGATACGACAACACTTAATTTCCCTTTGGGATTAATAAAGTACCTCTGAATTGAGTCCGGACACGTTTCTGTTGGTCAGGCCTGAAGACAAATCCAAGCTGTTGGAGACATTCTGGAAATTTAACCTTTTAAAACAACCAAACCACACGAAGACTCTGACTTTGTTTTAAAGGTTTAAATAACAATAATTATAAATTCATCAAGACCTGTGTAACAAACCCAAACGAATGGTTTGTTTTTAAAATCAAATATTGTACAATTTATGGGTACATTTTAAAACTGCTCAACTTATTCAAAGCTAGAAATAATCTATTGCTGTTAAGTATTGATGTGGTAGTAGCCGAGAGTCATGCCCAACACACACTTTGAGCTCTAACTGGTTGCACGAGATTTGCTTTTAAAACTTTCACTTTAACACCAGCACACACACGCACGCACGCACACACAGGCACAAACAAAATCACCTATTGGGTAATGATGATAAAACTTTCCTGAAGCCTGAAGAACTGATCAGGACCACTTGAAGAGATTTTGCTTGGAAACAAAATATGAAAACCCATCAAGACTTTTGCACGGCACTGTGTCCATCATTAGGAGTTTGTCTTTATTTACTACTGTGTTATGATGTAACTGTTAGTTTTACTCCAGTTGTTCTTTCAGGGTTCACATGTTTAGACGCTCGCTGACCTTCTGCTCTCGCGCATGCGCTGTACGGTCCTATGTGCAGTGCAGTTCAACAGAGGCTCCAGAGGTAAACAATCTGTTATATCACCTAGTTACAGGTTTATTGTTTACCTTTCTGTAGAGCCGACCGTTTAATGAAGGTCGCTCTTTTCAGAAAGGCTCACTCAGCAGCAGGAAACGGGTTCGCTTTAGCAGCTTTCATTGACACTTTTAGACTGAGCTAGCTCAGTTAGCACAGTTAGCTTGTGCATTCACAGTCAATGGAGAATAAGCTCCGCTCAACTGCACGAGCTAAATGAGAAGTTTCGCACATTAAACTTCAGTTGGAAGGGGAGTTTGTCTTTGTGCAACTGTGAACAAGTGTTGCTTTCGAACTGTGTCGATGTTTTTATGTGGATTAAAGCCGAAACCGTCCAACAAAACGAAGGTAGCATTAGCAAGTTAGCCGCTGTCAAATATCCGAGTGGCGGGGCTTGTTGTGGATTGACAGGTCCGTGGACCAATCAGCTCTTCTCAAACTGACTGATAAGATGAGAGAAAAACTGGCGCGGAGTAGATAATGTTTTCGGTTTAATGTCAAATAATTTATATACGCACATGCTCTATTTTAGTCAGTGTGTGAAAATCAAGAAGTAACGAGGTGAAAAAGTTTAGCAGGAACATAAAATAACCCGGGTCAGATGTGGGCGGAGTCAAACTGCTCCATCTACTGGACAAATATGAGAACTACAAGAACCAACCAACCGGAAGCTGCAATTATGATGACGTCAGATCAACCTAATTAATAAACATGTCTTTTTTTAAATTTCTGCATTGTACTCTGCAGTAAATACTGTTGTTTGTTTTTCAGATAATTAATGTTGTTAACTTTTTATGTCTATGAATACTGTTCAGTGCCCTGAGATGACTTCTGTTGTGACTTGGCGCTATAATTGAATTGAATTTCTAATGGTAATAATAAATGATTTAATAACAAAACGTTGCATTTTTTTCTCTGACAGATGAAAACTCCGCCTGACAGGTTGGGGCTTACCTTTGAGGTCGGAGGTCAGCTGGAAGCCCGAGATCGACAGAAGAACTGGTCGGCACCAAACTGATACAAAGGATTTCCTCATGTTTGATCTTTAAATGTTTTCTTTTGTTTCTCTAAAAGCTTCTGCAGACATTAAACTCCATCATGAAGCAAGACCATAGAATAATTGTTTTAGTCAAATTGTTGTTTTCAGTTTGACAGCCTGTTTCGCCTGAAAAGTCTGGTGTTGTTTTTAAACGTCCTAAATCTTAATCAGGACGGTTCTTCATTCAGCAGAGTTTTTTATGAGGGAGTCTGGATTAGATATAATACTGGTTCTGTGGACACCAGCTGGTCTCAGACAGACGGATGGACAGAGGACGGGTTCTGTAGACCCAGTAGATGACGAGTGGACTAACACCTCTAACCTGACATGCTTGTTGCCTTCTCAGGTACCCGGCAACCATTGAGAAGATCGACTACGACAAAGAGCGGGTTCTGGTCCACTACCGCCGGTGGAGCCGGCGCCACGACGAATGGTTCCACTGGAACTCTCCGTCCATGCGTCCCCTGGAGCGGGTCAGTCTGAGGAAGCAGGGCCGGACCCCCCAACAGTCTCCCTCGGTACATCCTCTACCTCATCTTGTTGTAGCTGTTTTCAGAGCTGGCCTCAGCTGACCTCTGACCCCTGACCTCTGGTACTGTTCTGTTGTTTTTGTCGGTTGAACTTGAGTTTTCTTCCTGTTCTGTCTCAGACGTTCGTTTCAGGTAAGAAGGTTCTGGCCTGTTGGACCGACTGTCGCTTCTACCCGGCGAAAATCCTCAAGGTCAACAAGGACGGTGAGACTGGACCCTCCTCTGTTTTCCTCCCGGTTCTTCCGGGCAGAACATCCGAGCTCAGTCCAAGCACGAATTAAGTTGATCAGACGCAGAACTTGATCCAGTTCTTCTCTGGTTCTGTTCGATTTGCTCTGAATGAAATCTAAAAGTGTGGAACGTATTTTAACCTCAGAACCGGAGTGGGTTTATGTAACAGAGCCCGATCGAAGCGCAACAGAACCTTTGTTGTGTTTTTGTCTCAGATTCTTACACGGTGCGGTTCTACGACGGCGTGGTCCGGACCGTGAAGCCCACCAAGATCAAACCCTTCCTGAAAGTAAGAAACTGCTCTTTCATTGGTGGGTTCCACCCGACCAGAACCTGGGATTAAAACGAGTTTCTGTTCTGTTAGAAGTCCAAATCTGACAAAAGTGCTGTGGGGAGTGAAGGATGGGAGGAGGGGGAGAGTGAGGAAGAGGAGGAGGAGATCAGTGAGGGAGGAGAGGAAGAGGAGGGGGAGAAGAAGGGAGAAGAGGAAAAGGTGATGTCAGAGGAGAGGGATGGAGCTGAGGAGGAGAGGAAGAGGAAGGCGGAGCCTTCATCTTTCCAACCACCAACAAAGAAGAAAACAGATAACAGTAAATCTCATGACCTTTGACCCCTGCAGTTTGTCATGTTCTCGTGTTTTACACTAAGTGTTTCTCTGTCAGGCAGCGACGAGGGAGCTCAGGATCAACCAACCACAGCTGACTCCGCCTCTTCTGCTGTTCCTAACCCCGCCCACGTGGACCCAGGTAAACCGTCTCCATGCAACGTGAAAAACTTTGAACTCATCGTCACGTCATCGTTTCAAGCTCGGAGGATGTTTCTGTGTAGAACAGGAACAGAATATGAACAAAGATGCTGCTGGTCGTAAACTGAGGCTCCGCGAGGACGTGAGCGGCGTCTGGAAACATCAACGTTTTTACCGTAACTGTGAGAAAGTCACACTTACACGGTAAAGCTGCGACCGTTGAGACGGCTGTAGCCAGATCACCAGCTGGCAGCAACGTTTCAGTGTCGGGCGCGAGGACGGTCACGTCCACAACGGTAAAAACACGAACGCTCGTTTGGAGCGAATGTGAGGTGCGGTCGCTCCTCCATGTTGGAAAGAGAGAGCAGCACAAACAGCACTCGCCTCCCACCGCTGCCGCTGCCGTTGAGCTGCTCTCAGAGCAACGCTGTTGACTGCAGCGCACGTAGAGCGCACGTGTGATGTCACACCGATGTTGGGCATTTCCAAATACCTCCACTCTGAGACCTGGACTCAAAAAGCTTTGCTTTCAGAGAAAACGCTCGCCGTTGTCGTGTTGACGAACGTCCGAAACGCAGCAGAAACATCACGGCTTCGCCTGAAAGCAGCGTTGTGTAAACGGCGTCATGCAGGAGATTAAACACCGAATCATCAAAGAACGACGTAAATGATAAATATGCCTCGTCAAAATAAAATATTAAAACTATTAAAAGTGATATTGTTACTGGAAGTCTAAACTTAAGAAGTAATTCTGTTATTGGGGACTTATTATCCTCATGACTTAGTGTTTCTTAACTTTATTTATATTTTAGTTTTCCTTCAGCTTTAACTAAACCATGCCCCAAATGTTACATCAAAACGACCGGCTCGGCACCGTGATGCGTGCGGTTACTTTTAATGGCATTTCGAGTTACCGTGGCGATGTAATTTGTTAAAAAAAAAATTTTAAGAAGCCATTTTTCTCATTCAGAATGCCTGAAGGAACTCTTCACTGCCGCTGCCACAGTGAGGTCACATGACCTAGAGGGAAGATGTCTCTGAACAAAACGCTGAATCATTTTTGGAGCCATTTTGGTTCAAAATGGCTGCCACAGTTACCTCAGGAAACTCAAAATTGAATATAAGTCAGCCATACTTTGAGATTTAGAGCTGAGATTTGGTTTGGTCGTAGCTGAGAACGTTCCCCATCACATACACGTCAAAAATCCAAAATGGCCACCATAGCTTACAAGACAAAAAATACCTTTTTTTTTAGTTTTTGCCATATTGAGCAGAAATTTAATTTGTTGGTAGTTGAGAGCAAACCCCACATGATCCTTCAAATATATTTTTTAAATGGCCGCCACGTGACTGTCCTCGTCAAAGTTTCTCCAGGGACTTTCTAGTTAGTAAAATATTATAATTGTTTTGATTCCAGTGTTTTTAATTCATAAATATTGACTCGTTAGAATCTGTTGTGTGTTTTTGTTGAGGTTAGGTTTGAATAAAATCCAGACGAGTTTGAGTACGTCCAGATACCTCCGTCCATGAAACACCAGTGAGTTGGTGTCGGACGTGCCGTAAAAACATTAAAATGATCAAGTCTGGTGAATAATTTAGATAAATGTTGGACTGAATTACCGGTCGTGTTTCCTTCTACTCTGAGCCTTTAGCTCTCCGTGTTCCAGATTAAAGTTCAACTCTAAAGCTGCTGTTTAAAATTAAAGCTTCCAGTTTGGAAGTACATGCTTTTATTTTGTAGTAAAGGAGTTTTCTGTTCCTCAGACATCCTGTTGGAGCGTCAGGCCCACCTGCCCACCACGCACAAGTTCAGCCGAGAGCCACGTAAGAAGCGCCACACTCATAAACTGCGTCATGTGGACCCCCGAGCGTCACGCCTTCGTCACGGCGCACGACACGTGTGAGCCGCGCCGGCAAAACGAGTCCCGAAGGATCGTCCGACTCAGAAGATTTAAAATGAAACGCAGTTTCTTCAAGTTGGGGATTTATACGGAAGAGTTTTAGGGCCACGGTGATAAATGTTCTTTGCCCAGAATTCTGATTAAAAAGTCAGAATTCAGAATAAAATAAATAAACGAGAACTCGGGAAAATAAACAAATCATTTTTACACCGTGGCCCTGATCACCTCTAGATTTACCAGTTTCATTTAGGAGGGCTCCGGTTTGACAACTGGATTTTTATTCATCTTAAGTGATGTCGTCGAGAATCACAGGCATTATACGAAGGGATTTACCAGTGCTGCCGAAGCTGAGTTAAAGCCAAACGTTATCTCTGAAGACATGCTTGTTTGACTGAAGCTAGATTAGATATTTTAGTAGACGTGTCCTTAAACACTTGTTTTTATGCAAATGTCAATTTCAGCACGGATGAATATTTTCACGTCGTTTGTTCTTCGGCGTGCGCTCGTTCTAGCTCGTTCTAACTCGTTCTAACTCGTTCTAGCTCGTTCTAACTTGGTTTTTTTACGAGTCACATTTTTAAAAACTGGATCTTCAAGAAAAAATGTCCTCAACTCATTTTCATCCAGGAGGAGGAAAAATGAAAACTGGGTTTAAATCCATGAAGCGCCTCATCCTCTGTACCTTGAAGTTAGCACATGTACGGCAGGCTGTTTTACTATATAATCAAATCACACTCATAAATCTGTTTTACTGTTTGATCTCCTTGTCACAAAAATCTTATTGCTTTAAAGCTGCTTACATTCACGTCATCATAAGCAGAAATTAATATTTTAAGTAATTCTAATTATACTATTAAAAATCTAAGTTTAAACCTCCACTCCTTACGGAGCTGACGCGTTTGACGTTCAGGGTGGAGATGCTGCCGACGTCTTCCAGGCCCAAAAGAAACGGAACGGTTTGTCAGTCGCAGGTTTTATCGTAGAAATCTACAGAAGTCGTTTGGCAGGTTTCCCGTCGACCCTTCAAGCTGAGTTTGCACGATTTCCACACGGAGTCCCGTGTTGTTCATTTGACGTGTTCACTCTGAACTTGGACTGATGCTAAACTGTAATTTCTAATTACAGTAATCCCTCATTTACCACGGGGGATCCGTACCATGAAGCCCCACGATAAGTGGAAAACACGAAGTAATAATCCAGGAGTCCAAGTTCAAGTGTAGTAAACTTTACTTTAAAGCTTTAGAAACACTTCCCACACTCTTGGAATGTTCTAAACTCTTAAACTCTACGTCATTTTAACAACATATGTTACTAAATTTTACTTCCTAGCTCTGCAGATCAGCAACAGCTCTGGTTCTGGTCCAACTCTGATTTATTCTGACTCGGTTCGTTTCTGCAGACAGTCCTGCAGCGATGACGCCCACAGTCAGACCTCTGAACTCTGAACCCTACTCATTTTAACAACATGCAGTACTTTTATGTACAGGAGCTACAACAGTTTATTACCAGGCTCTGCAGTACAGCAGCGGCCAGGTTCTGGTCCGACCCGATAGATGAAAAAAGTCGCGGTACAGCATGACTGAAGCCCACCGCTCCATCCAGCTTGATGTGTGCATGCTGCTACCCAGGTTTTAATCCACCACCTCTAGCCCGGTCTGGACCAGCACCACGTGTCCAGAACCTGACTGAACCCTGCAGCTCCCAGGATCCGGGTCACACCGAGTCCGGATCAGCTGCAGTCCAGCTACTCAGCAGTGAAGATACAACTTGAAGGATGAGTTCATCTTCAGGATTATTGAGACCTTCCTGCCAGTTCTGAGAGCAACAGAACTTACAGAACTTATAGAACTTATAGAACTTACAGAACTTATAGAACTTATAGAACTTACAGAACTTACAGAACTACTTGCAGAACTTACAGAACTTGCAGAACTTATAGAACTTACAGAACTTGTAGAACTTGTAGAACTTACAGAACTTATAGAACTTGCAGAACTTACAGAACTTACAGAACTTGCAGAACTTGCAGAACTTGTAGAACTTATAGAACTTGCAGAACTTACAGAACTTACAGAACTTGCAGAACTTATAGAACTTACAGAACTTGCAGAACTTGTAGAACTTGCAGAACTTATAGAACTTGCAGAACTTACAGAACTTATAGAACTTGTAGAACTTATAGAACTTACAGAACTTACAGAACTTATAGAACTTGCAGAACTTGCAGAACTTATAGAACTTGCAGAACTTGCAGAACTTATATAACTTGCAGAACTTGCAGAACTTACAGAACTTGCAGAACTTGCAGAACTTGCAGAACTTGCAGAATTTATAGAACTTATAGAACTTGCAGAACTTATAGAACTTACAGAACTTGCAGAACTTGCAGAACTTACCGAACTTGCAGAACTTGCAGAACTTGCAGAACTTACAGAACTTGCAGAACTTGCAGAACTTATAGAACTTGCAGAACTTACAGAACTTGCAGAACTTGCAGAACTTGTAGAACTTGCAGAACTTACAGAACTTACAGAACTTATAGAACTTACAGAACTTATAGAACTTACTGAACTTATAGAACTTACAGAACTTACAGAACTTACAGAACTTATAGAACTTGCAGAACTTGCAGAACTTATAGAACTTGCAGAACTTGCAGAACTTATATAACTTGCAGAACTTGCAGAACTTGCAGAACTTGCAGAACTTGCAGAACTTATAGAACTTATAGAACTTGCAGAACTTATAGAACTTATAGAACTTGCAGAACTTGCAGAACTTGCAGAACTTGCAGAACTTATAGAACTTGCAGAACTTACAGAACTTGCAGAACTTGCAGAACTTGCAGAACTTGCAGAACTTGTAGAACTTGCAGAACTTATAGAACTTGCAGAACTTACAGAACTTACAGAACTTATAGAACTTACTGAACTTATAGAACTTGCAGAACTTATTGAACTTATAGGACTTACAGAACTTATAGAACTTGCAGAACTTATAGAACTTGCAGAACTTGCAGAACTTATAGAACTTATAGAACTTACTGAACTTATAGAACTTGCAGAACTTACAGAACTTATAGAACTTACTGAACTTATAGAACTTGCAGAACTTATTGAACTTATAGAACTTACAGAACTTATAGAACATATAGAACTTACAGAACTTGCAGAACTTGCAGAACTTATAGAACTTGCAGAACCTACAGAACTTATAGAACTTACTGAACTTATAGAACTTGCAAAACTTATTGAACTTATAGAACTTATAGAACTTGCAGAACTTGCAGAACTTACAGAAATTATAGAACTTACTGAACTTATAGAACTTGCAGAACTTACAGAACTTATAGAACTTACAGAACTTACAGAACTTGCAGAACTTGCAGAACTTGCAGAACTTATAGAACTTATAGAACTTGCAGAACTTGCAGAACTTGCAGAACTTATAGAACTTACAGAACTTACAGAACTTGCAGAACTTGCAGAACTTCTAGAACTTCTAGAACTTGCAGAACTTGCAGAACTTACAGAACTTGCAGAACTTATAGAACTTACAGAACTTGCAGAACTTG